GTGGGCTTCCGGGCGCACGCTGCTGGGCCGCCGCCGCCAGGCCCGAGTTCCCCGAGCGCCCGCCGAGCTGTCGGTGCGCCCCGCTTAGCCGCGGCCATGGGGATCCTGGAGAAGATATCCGAGATCGAGAAGGAGATCGCTCGGACGCAAAAGAACAAGGGTGAGCGTCGGCGCGACGGGGTCTTCCTTTCCGCCCGCCTCAGTTTTCCTGTCCGTTAAATGGGAAACAACTCCCGCCGTGGAGCTGGAGCCTGCTGAAGGCCGCGGAGAAGTGCCGATTAGTGCGGGCCAGGCGGGATCCCGGTCCCGCGCCCCCGCCTGAGCGCAGACGAGCCCTGAGAGATGTGATCAGTGCCGCCCAGGTGATGACAGTAGGGCCCGAGTAGAGAACTCCCAGCACACTGCGCAAGCATCTCACCCAGGGACAGGCAGGGACAGGGCTGGAGCCCGGGCTTCCCCGCGGCAGGAATTGGGGTTGGTGCTCTCCCCTTTTCTGCTGGAAGTTTGGGAGGAGACCTCTCAGGTAAATCTCACCCAGCAGCCGGGAGACCCCAGGTGGAGTCCGAATCCCGGCAGCCAGGACTCTGGAATCCGGAGGACCTGGCTTTGAGCCCGGGCTCCCCACTTACCCGCTGTGAAACCTTGGAAAGGCACTTCACCTCTTTGAGCCTCAGTGTCCTCATCTACGAATGGGGATAATAATCCTATGCCCCACCTTAGCTCACAGCGAAGGTAAACTAGATAGCGTATGCAGAGCACTAGGCACATGGTGAGCGCTCGGTATTTAAAGTAAACCTCCCAGCATGATGAAGCATCAGGTCTGGGCTTCCCATTGTAAGGGCTGGAGGAGCTCAGAGAGGTGAGGAGACGAAAATGGTGACGCCCAAGATGGCTTCCAGGAGGAGGTGGGACTTGAGTGGGTGGAGGGAAGGCTATTCCAGGGGGGGCGGCAAAAGCAGGGATGGGACTCTGGGTGAGCATGCTGTGTTCATGGGACAGTGAGGAGAACAATCTAGATCAGAAGGAGAGTCTGGAGTAATGGGGGATGCAGTTGGCCAAGGTGGATAAGGCCCAGTGCCTGGCCAGACCTGCTGTGGGGTTGCAGGAGCAAGAAGGGAGGAATGCTAGGTGGTGATCTCTGTCCTCTCTTGGCTCCATTTAGTTCTGAAGGCTGAGGTGTTGACTGGTATCATTCATTCATTCTGTAAATCTTGACTGAGCCCCTGCTATGTGTGGTTAAAGCAGTGAACACAGCAGGCACATCCCTGCCCTCATGGAGCTGACCTTCCAGTGGACAGTCTGTAAATTAGTAACTAAATAAACAAGATACCCCGGCTGGCATGGCTTAGCGGTTGAGCATCGACCCATGAACCAGGAGATCACAGTTTGATTCCCAGTCAGGGCACATGTCCGGGTTGCACGTTTGATGCCCATTGGGGGGCGTGCAGGAGGCAGCCAATTGATGACTCTGTCATCATTGATGTTTCTCTCTCCTCCCTTCCTCTGTCTGAAATCAATAAAAATATATTTAAAATAAAATAAATAAACAAGATAATTTCAGAGAACAATTAATTCTGTGAAGACAAACCAGAGTGTTGGGGGGAGGGACTTGGCCTACTAAGGTGGAATGATCAGAGAAGATCACCATGAGGAGGGGACATGTGAGCTGAGACCAGAATCTGTACATGCAAAAACCTGGGGGAAGACTGTTCCTGGCAGAGGGAGTAGTTGGTGCAAAGGCCTCAAGGCAGGAACAAACTTGGTGTGTTTAAGGATCAAAAGATCTGGGCCTGGAGTGCAGTGATGGGAAAGGAGAGAGCCAATCTTGTAGGACCTTGTAGGTCCTGGGGAAAGTCTGAGTTATGTTCTGAGGACAGTGGGAGCTAGTGGAGGGTGTTAAACAGGAGAGATGTAGTTAGATTTCTGTTTTGAAAGTTCCTTCTCTGGCTCCCCTGTGGAGTATTATCTACAGGCTGCAAGGAAAGTATCAGGGAGGCTTAGGGGAGGCTAGAGATGCTGCCACTTTAGCAGTGGTAGAGGAGGGTAATGTAAAGGTGACTAAGACCTAGTCCTTTCCTCAGAGATGCTCAGAATCTTATGAGCTGGGATGACAGGAAGGACCATGTGAACCTGACTGTTGCTGAACCCATTCTTGATCATTTCTTACTGCCACCAATTCATTCATTCACTTGTTAAAACATTTCCTGAGCACTTGCCCTATACCGTACTCTGTGCAGGAAGCTGGGGATACAACTATGACAGTCCCAATTCCTGCCCTATTAAAGGGAAGGACCTAAAGAAACAAGATAGTTGCCGTATCCGATTTGGCTCAGTAGTTAGAGCCTCAGCCCATGGACTAAGGGTCCCGGGTTTGATTCCAGCCAAGGGCACGCACCTTGGTTGCAGGCTCGATCCCTGGCCCTGGTCGGGGCATGTTTAGGAGGCAACCAATCAATATATTTCTCACATCGATGTTTCTCTCCCCCCCACTTCCACTCTCTCAAAAGCAATGGAAAAAATGTCCTCGGTTGAGGATTTTATTTAAGAAAAGAGAGAAGAAACAAGATAGTTTCAAATAGTGATAAGAGCCATGCAGACAATAATCAGTACCAGGAGACAGAGAGGGATCTAGGGAGAGGTGGGGTTACTGTAGATAGTAATATCCCCAACTTTTATTGGGTGCTTACTATGTGCTTGTCATTGTTCTTAGTGCTTTCTTTAAGCCTTATAGAAATCCAGTGAAGTAGTTATTGTTAACATCCCTATTTTGCAAGTTAAGAAACTAATGCACAAGAAGATTAAGTAACTTATCCAAAGTAAAATGGCCAGCGACAGCAGGGTGGAATTCCAACAGGGGCTCTTAACTTCTGTATGACACTGTCCCCAAGGCTGGGTAAGGGAGACCTCCCTGATGAGGTCACATTTGAGTTGAGCCTTGAATGTTGAGAGGAGCAAGCCCTGGGAAGATAAAGTTGAAATGGAAGGAAAAGCAAATGCTAAGCTTCAGAGTCAGGAATGGGGTCAGCATATTCTGGAGGAGCAGTGAAAGCCACTGTAGCTGGAGTGTAGTAAACAAAAGTGGGAGTGGTCCAAGGTGTTGGAGAAGTAGCCAGGGACTCGGGTACGTAGGGCCCTGCTTCTGTCTCAGCCACAGCCCCCTCTTATAGCAAAGACTGTAGTGCCCTCTTTACTGTTCTGAAATGTGGTTCCACATCAATAGTATAACTTTAGTACACAAAGAATTTGAAAAATAATCTAATGCCCTAATAGTAATATAAAGGAGGAAAAAAGGGCAAGTAATTTATAATAAAAATACTGTGTATTTCTATATGCAAATGTTGAGCCACGGCCAAGATATAATGAAGTGATAATGAAGCAGTGAGGTGCTTGCACCTCTGGATAGAATGTGGGGGTGTGGCCTCCACTTTGCAGACAGTGCAGGTGTTGTGTTGGTGCCCCGTGTACCCTGCAAGAGGCATCACTGTTGGTGGCCTGGGATCCTAAGACGGTGAGCAGCTCTAGGTAAAGTTTCAAACAAAACATGCTATAGTTTCCCTTGAACATACACATTTGCATTCCTGGAAATGTCAGCGTTTATTCACACTGCAAAAAATGCCCTGTGTTTACACGTGAAACAGATTTCAGGCCCCTGTGATCCTGACCCAGGTTTTCTCTGTGGATGTCTTTGGGACATGAAAAGTCATGTGGGACACAGGACAATTCTTGACTGTGCTGGACTGACTCACACCTGGTACAACAGTTGGCTTCAGCATCAGAGTGACAATGGAAAACATCCCTGGGAATTTCTAGAATGCCCCAGGGAATGATGCTGGACCCGCTGAGAACCACTGACATGGCCTTTCAAGGGTTCAATAAAGAGACTCACTTTTATTCTATATGAAGTGAGAAGCCAAAGGAGCATTTTAAGCAGAGGGACAGTTTTTCTCCCTGATCGTGACAGCGAGTGCCATTTGGTTCTGATATTCCTGGCCCCACTCGGTGGCATGTGAGGCCCCACCTGGCTCACAGGGCCTGGCTACTTTGGACACTTACCTTCCATCCTGCTTCTCGCCCTTCAGCCACCGAGTATCACCTGGGCTTGCTGAAAGCAAAACTCGCCAAGTATCGGGCCCAGCTCCTGGAACCATCCAAATCTGCCTCATCCAAAGGAGAGGGCTTCGATGTCATGAAGTCGGGTGATGCCCGTGTGGCACTGATTGGATTTCCCTCTGTGGGTAAGGTCAGTGATGGTCATTGTGGGTCTTGGGGAGGAAGGCAGGTTGTCTCCTTTCAAACATGACTGTGACTCTTCTCACTGTCCCTCTGGATTAGCTCCAGGGACAGAAGACCCAGCCTCCTCTAGGATCAGGTCCCACCCCTGTATCATCCTAACATGGAGAACATTCTTTCCGTTCCAGCAGAAGTAACTCCATTCAGTCTCTGACTCATCCGTTATTCATATTTATTGAGGGTGGCCCGGCCGGGCGTGGCTCAGCGGTTGAGCATCGACCTAGGATCCAGGTGATCAGGGTTCGATTCCCAGTCAGGGCACATGCCCGGGTTGCGGGCTCGATCCCCAGTCTGGGGCGTGCAGGAGGCAGCCGATCAATGACTCTCATCATTGATGTTTCTATCTCTCCCTCTTCCTCTCCTTCCCTCTCTCTGAAATCAATAAAGATATATTTAAAAAATATATATATATTGAGGGTGTACCATGTGCCAGCTGCTGGAGGTACAGTGGGGAATGAGATAGTCTGTCCCTGCCCACACAGAATTCCCATTCTTGGGGGAGAAAAGACAATCAGCTCTGGGGGTGGGGACCGAGGTCCCGCCATTTTATGCTGGGGATATGAGAAAATGTTCTGGTGAGCAGATATTTGAGCAGAGGCCTGAATGAAGTGCAGAAGCTTGCAGGGCCCTGGGGAAGGAACATCCCAGGCAGAGGGAGTAGTGAGTACAGAAGCCCATAGGTGGGAGCTTGCTTGGTGTATTTAAGGGGGCCAGGGAGCCAGGTCTGAGTGAGCAGCAGTGGGAGATGAATTATAGAGGGTGGATGACCTTGGGGGCCGTCATATAACTTTGGCCTTTAGTAAAAAAGTGAAGCGGGAACCACTGCAGAGTTTTTTAGAAGTTTTCTTCTATAAGCTTAATTTAGTGTAAAATTCATATTTAATTTTTGTGTGGGGAGTAAGATAAACCTCATGGAAAGGTTTTGAGCAGAAAAGGGGCTGAGTGGCCCAGCTGTTTAAAAGGGTCATGGGTTTACAAAGAAACTGCAAAGCCAGCACCCTGCTCGTGCAGAGTCCTTCATTTTCCTGCCCTGGAGGCTGCATTGCCCTCAGCTGCCCTGTCTGCTGGGTCTCTCCTTAGACTGGCCTCGATTGGATGACTTGGACAGTTTTAAGGAGTGCTAGTGGGTGTTGTAGAAAGTCGCTCCACTGGGGTCTGTCTGATGTTTTCTCATGCTTAGATTGGGGCTCTGGGTTCTGGGAGGAATGCCACAGAGGTGAAGTGCCATTTTTACCACTTTATATCAAGGGTCCATGCTGTCACCGTGACTAGTCACAGTTGATGTTGACCGTGGCCACCTGGTGAGGGAGAGTTTGCCAGGTGGACCACTGTTTTTCTCTTGTGTTCACATTTCCTCTTAGAAGGGAAGTCGCTGTGTGCAGCCCACAGGAGTTAACACCACCTCCTGGCGGGGCCCACAAATTATTCAGAATTCATAATGAGGTTTGTCTCCTCTCCCATTTTATTTAATCATTTATTTACATCAGTATGGACTCATGGGAATTTATTGTATACTTGGGTTCCAATCTCACACTGTATATTTTGCTGCTCAGATTGTTCTTGCTTTGGAGCTATTTCAGGTGGCTTTTTGACAAACTCCTGTCCTGTTTTTTCAGCACTTCTGTACTTTCCGTTACTGCAGAATGCTTCAAGCTCATCTTGTATATCCCCTCATCTTACTAGCTGCCTGGACCGCCGCACTGGGTCACATGATCAGCAGCAGTCTGTGACTGCCCTCCCCTGCAGTTTGGCCACACCGTGCTGTAGTGAACCGGCTTGTGCTTGAAGCCTTGCGGGCTGGAGCTGTGTTTCTGGAGGCAGTGTTCCTAGACATAGGCACAGTGGCTCAGGCTTCGGGGGTTTAAAGCAGCCATCAACCTTGCCAGTTACCCACCAAAGAAATTTTAGCTGCCTCCACCTGGGGACGGTTTTCTAGTGTACCCACTACACAGTGCTGTGTCCAGGCTGGGTTGTGTGCTGGGGCGGCTGCAGATTGGACTAAGACCAGGCTCTGCTTCAGAATCTGCAGAAGGATCCCTTCCTGATGGTATTTAAATGCTTTTTAATCTTCAGGAACATACTTGCCCTGGTTGGATTTTATTGTCATTTTCTCCATGTCCTCCAACGGTGTGGGCTCAGGAGATACAGTGCCATTTTAGTAATCACCTGAACCAGGTAGAATAGACTGGGAAATTCTATCTGTTGCTATAGATGAAAGTTATAAAATACTCTGGAAACCAGCTGCTGAGCCCCTACAGCTCCTACTTCTCAAACCTTTTGCAATTCATCTATGTACCCTTTCAACTCTGCCATCAAGTCTGAGCACCCCTTTTACATGCAGATTGCCGGCCTGTGCACCAGTTCCTTTAGTGGTGGGGTGCTCATGACTCCCCAGCTTCACAAAAGCCAGGCACAGCTGCTGAGGGACCTCTTGGCTCAGCCCCTCAAAAGGAGCAGACCCCTGAAGGAGCCCCTCCTGCAAAGGGGGGTGGGACTTCCCCCAAGTGTGCCCTCTGCTGGCCGAATGCCCTCACAGTCTTCAATCCTGGCATGGTTTCCAGATCCCTTTTTTATTCTTTCTTGTTCTTCCCAGTTTTACATAATAAAAATTTTCAAGCACGTGTAAGAGGTGAAAGAACAAGTACAGTGTGCCCTCTGTCCAGAAGCATCTCTATTTGTGTGTGGTGGGGACGGGGGGTGTTTCTGTTTTGATTGAACCATTTGACAGTAAATTACAGGTGTCATGCTTTATGACTCTCCACCCCTAAATATTTAAGCTTGTATCCCCAATGAATAAGAAAATTTTTCTACTTAGCTGCAAACTGGTACAGCATAGCAAACAGAATTACCAGCAATCCAATGATCATCTAATGCCCAGACTATATTCTAATTTCAGTAGTTACCCCCCAGTGACCTTTGCAACTGGTCTTTCTAAACGAGGGTCCATTCTGGAGCACACGTAGCCCTGTGTGTTGTCAGTACAGCTGCTTTAATCTAGAACAGTCCTGTTTGTCATGACCCTGACTCGCTGAAGAGACCGGACCAGTTGTCCAAGAGGAAGTGTGTGCTCCTGAGAGGTCTGCTTGCTTCCTCAGTGGGCTGCAGCTTGAGTCTGTGTGCTGTGATTCCTGGGAGCTGGGGCGGCATTGGCCAGGTTCACAAGTGGATGGTGGACATGCCAGAAAACCCCCAAGGGCTGGCTGCACTTCCAGGGCCACTGGGCTGGGGGACACACCCTGTGTCCCCTTGCATATAGTTACGTTCCCTCTACACCAAACACTAGAAAGTCACCTTTGGGGTGCTACGGTGTTGGCTCCCAGAAGCAGGCTCTGCCCACTTCCTGTTGGTGCCTTACCCTTGCCCGGGGTTTTCACCAGTGGCTGTGAATGGCAGTTTTCTAGTCCTTAGGCCTTCCTTGCTCAGTAGCTGATGTGCCGTGTACAGTGGCACCTCTTTCACCCGTGAGGGCAGTTTGAGTCCTGCGAAAGTTCCACCTGGAAAGGCAGGACAGACACTCCCATGTTGCCCTTCATGATCAAGCCAAATATTGAGCTCAGGGCTGTCCCGCAGGTTACCAGGGAGGGTTTCCAGCTTTAACTCTTCAGGTGTTATGGGCTCATTAGTTTTAGTCTTTTCTTTTGATTTTACTTTCTATCCTGCCAAGACTTCCTTCCCAGGTGAGAATCTCAGGCTGAGAGAAGCCACTCTAGTTTCCAGGGTCTGGGCCCTGTCGCCAAATCCCACTGCCCTGTTGGGAATCCAGATTCTCTGGCCATGGGAGGCCCAGGCCTCTCCTACAGAGGCCAAACAGGATTGGGGGTATCCTCCAGCAGCCATTGCTCAGTGTCTCAGCAGCCAATGCTCTATCCCCTGACCCCTATCCTCAGGAGCTCCCCAGGGCAGAGTTTCTGGATTTGAGGCCTGTTTCCTTCACTTGCCCCGTTCTGGGTTTTAGTATGAGGGTGTGTGAGTGAGGTGTGCCCCCAGCCTTCCTGCCTGCCAGTGAGGGGCAGAGTCCAGGGGGTACTAGCCCCAGACCTAGGTGACACTGTCCCAGTGCCCAGTGAAACTGCACCTCAGGCTTCCTGTTTCAGGTGCCCTGCTGATTAGGTGGGTGCCTGAGGCCAGGGCTGGCTTCTCCCACTGGCACTGCCCACTGCTTTGCTTGCTCTCTGGGCCGCAGTGTCTAGCACTGTGGTCTTGCCATGGCCCTGACTCAGTGCACCACGTGCCTTGCCATCTTCATTGATCCCGATGCAGCCCCTCTAGAAAGGAACAGCTGGGTGCTCACCCTTCCTGTGAGGACCCTGAAGCTTAGAGGACGCAGTTTCTTGCCCAGGGTCCCCTAGCAGAGGGGGGATCCAAGGTGAGGTCTCTCTGCCTCCTAGCCAAGCCGTAGCCCCACTCCCACGGTGGACTATGGCATAAGTGTTCCCATCCATGTTCTTCCCAGCTCACCCTCCCTTCCTCCCAGCACCTTCTCTCGCCCATCTGGCTTTGTCTCAGACCAGAAGTCAGGATCTCCTTTCACATCTCGCCTCTCCCTGTGTGAGCAGCAGCTTTGAGTGCCATGGGGCTGTCACCTGCTTGAAGTTCTCTGGACCCCGGGAAGGTTGAGGGTTTTGTGGAACTAGGGATTTAAGTGGGGAACCCACTTAGAAACCAGGTCCCCGTGTCCACCTGTGATAGGCTTGGACTCTCTGGGGCCTGAGGCAACTTTTCCAGCTATTCTCTTCATCCCCCCATTCACCAAGAGGAGGGTGAGGAGGGGATCTGCTGCCTGCAGCCTGTGGGGATCTCCAGGGAGATTGGGACAAGACTCAGTGCAGTGACTTTCTTTTTCTCCTAGTCCACCTTCTTGAGTCTAATGACCTCCACAGCCAGTGAGGCTGCGTCCTATGAATTCACAACCCTGACGTGCATCCCCGGGGTCATTGAAGTAAGTTGGAGGCTGCTGGACTCCAGCAGGGGCAAGGGCGTGTGCTTGTGTTTTCGATGGTGTGTGTGTATGTCCTGAGCATGTGTGCCCTGTCTCACTGTGCCTCTGGGGATTCTGGCTGCCGAGATCCCAGAGATGCCTGGCCCATCCTGCAATACTGACTGGTTCCAGGAACCAGGCCAGTGTACAGCAGATCCTCAGTGCCCTTTGTGCTCTGCTCCCCCACACCACCCCAGCTCAGGTCACGCATTCCTGTGTGGCTGGATCCTGTATCCCATGAAACTTCGGAGCCATGTGCAACTGGGGTCCTATTGCCTTGAGCCTCTCGTGGGGAAGCACTTTATTTGTGACTAGCTGTTACCATCAACGATGAGTGTTGTGGGATTGTAAATCTCTAGAGCCCTCCCCAGGTAGGCCCCTCAGCTCACAGGAGGGACGAGGCTCAGACATGGCCATGGAGGCTGATCCTGGGGTCTAGCTGCCTCTCGCTGCAGGGTGCTGTAGGCGTCCTCACTTCACCTCCTTCTCTTCTGCCTCCTAGTACAAAGGAGCCAACATTCAGCTCTTGGACCTTCCTGGAATCATCGAAGGTGCAGCACAAGGTACGAGCTGGGCACCCAAGGCCTGCCTTCTCTCTCAGGATGCAGGAAGTTGAAATTGGTTGTGGCTGTTGAGGGTTGATGGGTGGATCTCATAATCCCTCACATTGCTCAGTGCTCTGTACTTAATGGACTCTGGCTGATTATAGTCCTGAGAAACCCATCTTAAAGCCGAGGAAACTGAGGCGCAGCGAAATGACTTGCCCAAGGTCACACAGCCCACCAGACAGGCTTGAACCCCTCTCCCCTCCATGTGCTCCCCTGTGCCCTGCGAGGAATGGATGCTTGTTAGCTGGTGATCTCAGACTGTGCTTCTAGTATCGTCCTTTGCTGTTTGGGGGTTGTTTCTGGTGGGTTTTCTGCTTTTGTTTTTTGAGATGGGAATGTGCCTGTGGCTTCTGGTGGCAGGTGCTGGGTCCAGCATTTGCAGCAGTGGTTACCAATTGCTGGTTATTCAGCACTTGCTAAGCTCTGGGCTCTGTGCTCACCATTACCCCACTTAATCCTTGGATAGCCCTGTGACTCAGGGATCCCTGGAGACAGAGAGGTAAAGGGTCTGCCCTGACTGACTGTTCAGCTGCTAAGTGGCAGAGCTGGGGTGGAGCTGCCTATCTGGCTCTGCACCCTGCTGTGACTGGGCAATGAGGCCTCTCCAGGTATCCAGTGCCATCTCTGCCAGGCACCTTCCCACGCCCTGCTGCTGCCATTGCGTCGAGGTCCTGTCTATTTGAATTGGGTAGTGGTGGTGGTGACTGTTCCCCATGCCATCCCAGCCAGCACATTAGGAGGTGGCCCAGCCACCTATGGGGAAGTACACAGACTGGAGGCAAGAGGCAGCTGGGGAGTGGATGTCACCTTGTCAACCCCTCATTCTCAGAAGAGGGAAGCAGGGCATAGTTGAAACTCACACTTCACAGATCCTGTGCTGCAGTTCTGGTCCCCAACTTTGACATCGGCAAGGTGCCTGACTTCCTCTGGTTGCTAGGACTAACAGGCTGTGGCCTCTCTGCAGCGGTCCCTGGAGTACCTCCTCCTGATTGTCTCCTGTGATCCTGCCGCCCAGGGGCCTCCTGTCACCCTGTTTCCTAGACAGGGCAGACAGGTTCAGATCTTGGCACCACACTGGCTTTGTGTTCTTTGGCAATTCATTGAGTATCTCTAAGCCAAGCCTTAGTTTTCTTGTCTGTAAAACAGGCAATACACCAATCATATGGGATAGTTCTGAGGATCAAGTGAGGAGATGTTCATGATGCATCTAATACGGGGCCTGGGGGAGGATGTCACCCCTCCTAAGGCGGTAACGTTGAATTTCCATCTAAAACAAGTTTCCACAAGTAATATAGCATCTCAATTAAAGAAAAATGCCAAAGAAATAATAGCCTGGGAGGTGGCACGTGGCAGACACCATGACAGGTCTGTAAAGGACAGAAGTCTGGAGTGCCCTGGGCTGGGTGGGGTTCACATGGGTCCTGCCTATGTCACTGTGTAACCATGACCCTTCTACCTGTCCAGGGAAAGGCCGCGGCCGACAGGTGATTGCTGTGGCACGCACAGCCGACGTCGTCATCATGATGCTGGACGCCACCAAGGGAGAGGTGCAGAGGTCCGCGGGGTGGGGCAGGGGGGCAGGCTGACATGTCTGGGAAGGCCCTGGAGCTCATGTGTCCTGGAGCTTATGGTGGACGGTCTGAGTGGTGCTGGACCCTGTGGCGTGGCAGTAGCGGCAAGACCGTCCACAGACTAGACCAGTGCACTCAGTCTGGTATGTCCTCTCCAAGAGGCTTACCTCCAGCATAGAGAGTGGCTGAAGCTTGCAGCAGGAGTCCTCTGGCAGCATTGGCTGTCCAAGGCCAGAAGAACATGGCCTGGCTCTGGCTCCTGCTTGCAGAGGCCCAGTGCCCCAGCAGCTGCCCCAAACCTGCCAGGAGCCCAGCCCCAAGCAACAGAATCCTCATTCATGTCCTGGCCTGTCTCTGCCCATTGACTGATGACCTGGCCAATCTACCCTGGACTAGACAGGGCCCCCAGGCCCCTCCTTGGCAGCTCAGGGTTGTTGGGAAGGAATGTTCCACGTTGCTGGGGGCAGATAGAGGAGGGTGCTGGTGTGGGTGGGCAGGGGTTTCCTGTGTAGTGTGGAAGCTGTGCAGCCTGCCTCTGGACACCTGTGAAGGCTTGTGGGGGCTCTGTCCAGGTCTCTGCTGGAGAAGGAACTGGAGTCTGTGGGCATCCGCCTCAACAAGCACAAACCTAACATCTACTTCAAGGTGAGGCCCGTCCCCTGTGGGCTGCGATGCGGGGGCCGTGGGGCTGTATCAGCCAGGAGCTGAGGCATGTGGGGCAATTGCAACTGAGACTTTGTCAGCAGTCCTCCCTCCCCCTCTCCTCCTCCAGCCCAAGAAAGGTGGTGGCATCTCCTTTAATTCAACAGTCACGCTGACCCAGTGCTCAGAAAAGCTGGTGCAACTCATCTTGCACGAGTACAGTATCCTTCCTAAAGGAGTGGTGAGGGAGGGCCCACAGCCTTCAGGGCAGGGGAGGGGCAACTGGAGGCGGGAGGCCCTGTGGCCCAAGGTAACAATGACTATCCCAAACATCCCTGGGTCCACCTGAGCAGGCTCTAAGAAAGCTGCAGCGGCTGACACACGGTGCTTCCTGTCTGCATGCCTCTGTGCTCACTAAGATCCAGGCCTGCCAGACAACAGCCATGCACTCAACAGTGGTTCCCTGGCTCCTTGGCGACCACTGGGAGCTGTGGCAGCCAGCCACATCTGGAATGACAAGATGGCAAGGGAAACAGCCCCTGGGGACCAAGGCTTCCTGGTCTGGAGAAGCCTTGGGGAGATCCAGGGATTCTGGGGCTCTAGAGGACAGAGTGGGTCCCCAGAGGCAGAGTTGAGCTTGGCATAGGGAGAACTCATGGTGGAACAGGACATCCATTGAGGTGGTGAGGCCCTCGCCACTAGAAGTGTACAGGTAGAGGCAGGGTGATACCCAGAGGAGAGTTTTGCATGGGGGAAGGTGAGTTAGACCCTAGCTTTCGGACTGCTCCTGGCACGGAAGCCCAGGGTTCCCCTGACGAACTCTGGGGTTCTGGCAAGTGGATTTTCTTGCCTAACAGCAAAGATTTGAACTGGTGATTGAAACTTTTACATATTGTGGCTTCTTTTGAAAAGACTTTAAAATTTCGCAAAACCTTGTGAGCAGATGATCTGCAAGGCCCCTTACTGCTGGCATACTTCCGGATGAGCTGTTTCAGGCCCTCATCTGATTGGGCACTAGGGGCTACTAGTACCCAGTTTGCCCTTAATCTGAGTCCCTCAGAGATCTTCAATGCAGAAGTGCTCTTCCGAGAGGACTGCTCCCCGGACGAGTTCATCGACGTGATCGTGGGCAACCGGGTGTACATGCCCTGCTTGTATGTAAGTGGTACAAGTTCCTGCCCCATGCCCAGGCCACACATCCTGAGCCCCCTTGACTCAGATGGGAGGCAGGCTTCTGCGAGGAGCGGAGGAGCCAGGGCCCTCTCCACCCTCTCTCCTCCACTCCCATGGCCCCTTAAGTCTTGCACATCTCTCACTGGACACTGGGATTCTGGCCCAGCCTCTCCTTTAAGGAGCGCTGGCGGCCCAGGCCCTTTGGCTTCCACATCATTGCGATAACAAGGGAAGGGAAGACACTGCATCATCCCAGCGCCATGTGTGCAGGGAGGAACCACGGGCAGGGCTGTGACTGCGTTGGGGCCCTTGTCCTCTGCTCCTTTGATTCTTTCCCTTCTCATCACCCACCTCCACCTTTCAATCCGAGGTTTATAACAAAATTGACCAGATCTCAATGGAAGAAGTGGATCGCCTGGCCCGGAAACCCAACAGTGTGGTCATCAGGTGAGGCTCTGCCGCCCTTTCTGTGTGCGAGCCTATCATCGAGCCTCCCCGCCACTCAACTGAGCGAAGCCTCCACGCAAGGCCCGGCAGAGGAGACCTTCCCAGTTGCTGGTGAACTTGGCTCAGTTCCACCCTGAGTTGATGCGGGCAGTGTGGGTGATGTGGGGTGGGCTCTGGTTAAGAAAACGGATTTTGTCCATCAAGGTAAATGATTAAGAATAGTTGAGAGGCTTCATAACTTAGCAGTTAAACTCAGTCCTCCAGAAAGCCCTCAGGTGTGAGCCAGTGCTCTTGGTACTCTAGATGATGTGGCTCTGCCACCACAGAGCAGGGGAAGGGAGCTGAAGTTGGTAGGTGGTCAGAGCTGTCCTTGACCATCCCCTCCCTGTCCTTGAGGCCCTGGTGGGTTCCAGGGCCGCCTCCACTCTGGCTGATGCCTGTTTATCACTTCCCATCACCACTGGGTTCCTCTTTGGAGGCTTGTTGACTTGTGTGTTCTACTTGGCTGGTTTCCCAGATCAAACAAGGTGCTCTGTAGCTTCACAGTGCAGCTTGGCTTACGGGGAGGAAGATGCTCAGGGACCAAGTGGGGGTGACTAGTGCAGATGATGGATGAGGTTCTGGACACAAGCACGAGGACCATTTCCTGGGCATTGCCAGCTGCTACAAAGAGCCACAGAGCCAACGTCCCTCCCACAGGACAGCCTCAGCTCCTCTCCACCTCCTGCTACACCCAGGCACCCTTCAGGGACCGCCTGAGGACATGCCCATCTGTGGGGTGTGAGAGCATCTTTACCTGCTCATCATGCTCAAAACAGCTCTGCAGAGGGCAGGACACCCGCACGGGGAAAGACAGCTGAAATAACCCACAGCCAGCACCACCCCGACTCATGGCCCTAAAATCCCTGATAGGCTGCCCTGGGCCACTTGGGAGCCCCTCCCTCCTCTTAGGAGGGGGCAGGCTCTGGATTGTCATCCTCTGCCCTCAATCCCATTACAGCCCCCACCAGTCTTCACACAGCAGGCACTAGGAGGAAAGCCCAACCTCTAGGCTCCTGTGTCAACTGCAGAGAGCAACTGTGAGGCTCAGGGAGATGGCTGAGCCCTTTTGGCATGGTCATGATTGTGGACTAGAGGCGCTGGCAGCTGAAGTGTCAGGCTGCCACCAGAACTCTAGGCTTGGCTCCCCACAGGCTCCAGCTGGGCTACACTGGCCCTGGTGCTTGTGCCTGGCTAGATGGAGGTTGTCCTCTGCTCTGACTGGCCACCTTCCTCCCTGGCAGCTGTGGCATGAAGCTGAACCTGGACTACTTGCTTGAAATGCTTTGGGAGTACTTGGCCCTGACCTGCATCTACACCAAGAAGAGAGGACGTGAGTCGAGCAATATGCAGCCCATGACACAGCTGAGCCTCACCCTCCCTTACAGCCTGCTATGCTCTGCCTGTGGTACCCAGAGGGTCCAGTGCCCCTGGACAGCCTGTCTTGTGGCCATCTCTGCTTTTCTCCCATCTCAGAACTGGCACTGTCCTCTCCCCCACTGACACTGTCTTCTCCCCCAGGCTGGTAGAGACCCCAGCCTGAGCCCTTAGGGCAAAGTGCCAAGTTATGGGGCTTTTGGTCTTGAGGGTGCCCCGGTGGGGCAGGGGTTGGGGGGGCAATGGGATAGAGGCTGCTCTGGATTCCCCACCAGCTATAGCAGTAACCCTCTCCCGACTTCCCCCAACAGTGGCAGGCCCCACATCAGGACTTTAGGTGACTGAATGCACTAGAACTTTTGCCGTGTCCCCACCCCCTGTATACACACCTCACACACTCAGAGACCTAGTTGCTGCATTGTGGCAATTTCCTTTATTTTTTCTTTTTTAAATATGTTTTTATTGATTTCAGAGAGAGGAACGGAGCGGGAAAGAGATAGAAACATCAATGATGAGTCATTATTATTATTTTAAAAAATATATCTTTATTGATTTCAGAGAGAGGAAAGGAGAGGGAGAGAGAGAGATAGAAACACCAATGATGAGAGAGTCATTGATCGGCTGGCCTGCAACCCTAGCATGTGCCCTGACCGGGAATCGAACCCCGATCGCCTGGATCCTAGGTCGATGCTCAACCGCTGAGCCACACCCGGCCGGGCGAGAGAGTCATTATTGATCAGCTGTCTCCTGCATGCCCCTTACTGGCAATTGAACTGTGACCTCCTGGTTCATGGGTCAATGCTCAACCACTGAGCCATGCTGGCCAGGCGAGTTCTGGCAATTTTCATTGGCCTTGACCTTGTAAGCTAGGGGAGTGGTGTGCTGTCCCTGACTGGATGCCAGCAGCTGTCACATCTTGCCAATACTTTCCAGATGCTCCATATGGCTCGTCTCAGCCGGGGCTCTTGTGGCTGACTGGGTTGCAGGCAGTTTGAATCCTGGACTTGGATTTATTTGGATTTTCTGTGTTAAGGTCAGGTTGTAGAAGATTGTATGGGGATCTACAATGAGCATGTGCTAAATAAGGGGGAAGCCTAGCCCAAAGCTGGAGACTGGAAGAGCCTCTGTTCCCTGTGGAAGGAACCACATAGCATGGGGCCATGCCTGGCTCACACCCACCCCTTTCTCTCCCTGTGCAGAGAGGCCGGACTTTACAGACGCCATCATCCTACGGAAAGGGGCCTCCGTGGAGCATGTGGTGAGTTACGAGACCTGCCCGGAGGAGGGGCCCAGGGAGCTCTCTTTCCCCTTGAGGGGTAGGGGTCCTGCCTGAAGTTCTGGGCCTCAGCTGGCTCTTGGATGACACATGCTGTAGCCGCAGAGGTGCCAAGGTCAGGCCGTGGCATTGGACCAGGGGTGCTCCCCGACTTCCCTTCCTAGCTGTGCATCAAGCCCCTGTTCTCCTGTGAGACAGGATGGTGCCCCCACCATGGTAGTTAGGGGGTTGCTGAGTGAGTAAAGCGAGTACAGAACTTGGCATACTACCTGGTACATGGTAGACGTCCAGGAAGCCGTGGACCTCGCTGTCTGGTGCTGTAGGCTTCTCAGAGCCACTGGGGTATTCTGTCAAGGAGAGCTACTGCCCAGGGTATACCTGTGTCCACTTCAAGTCGTGTCTCCCTATGCACACCTAGGAGTTGCCACCTCCTATGCCCTTGGCCCCTGCTGCCTTCCAGGTCCCCATTCACCCCTTGCCTGGCCTGCTCCTCCCTGCTCCTATATCCTGCCCTCAACCCACGGGTGGCTTTGAATGTTTTCTGCACTCAACACAATTTATTGAACATCAACAAAATAGGCACAGTTCCTGCCAGAACTAGGGTCCTTTGGGGTAAGCAGATGCCGAAACCCAAGCTCAGAGCTAAGCTGTCACACATAAAGGAGGACTGCGAGGAGGAGGGGTGGCCCCAAGTCTACCCAGAGGCCAGGAGGTCTGTAGGAGGTGACCTGAGTGGGCCTGTGCACCAAGCAGGACTGACTGAAGAGGAATAGGAGAAGCCCTCCAGGCAGGGGAGCAGGGTGTGCAAAGACCCTGAGGAAGGGGCTCTGGGCCCAGTCTATGGGTCAGGGAGAGGAGGGGTGCATTTCTGTGTCTGGAGCTCTGTCGGAGGCACAGGATCACCCTCTACCCTAGATGTGTCTTTGTACCATCTCTTGGGGACGGTACCTTGGGACCTACACTAGCAGGTGTTGGCCCCGAGAGCCTAGGATGATGCTCCAGGTCACATAGCCATCTTCTTGGGCTTTTGTTTTCCCCTAGCTCAGTGACTGTCAACCGTTTTCATCTTATGGCACATAAACTAGTTACTAAAATTCTGTGCACACCAAAAAGTATATTTTTTGCCAATTTGGGGAAAGGAAAAAAAAAGTATAATTTTGATTCATTCACACCAGGTGGCAGCTGTGTTGGCTGTATCATTTTCTTATTTGACAGTCTAAGGGAAAACAGGTCAGCGCCCCTGACTGCGTAGGTGCTGCATGTTTGTTTGTTTAATTTTTAAAAATTTTTATTTTTAATATATCTTTATTGATTTCAGAGAAAGGAAGGGATGGGGAGAGAGAGAGAGAAACATCAGTGAAGAGAGAGTCATTGGTCAGCTGCCTCCTGCATGTCCTACACAGGGGATTGAGCCCGCAACCTGAGCATGTGCCCTGACCAGGAATCGAACTGCGATCTGGATCCTAGGTCGATGCTCAACCACTGAGCCACACCAGCTGGGCAGTAGTGCGAGTTTTAAAAATGCTTGCCGCACATGGGTTGAAAATTGCTGTTCTAGCTCATTTCTTCTCAGTACCTGAACTGTTGACTGTGGGTGGGCCTGCAGTCTGGCCTCATTGTTTCATTCATTTGGCAAGCTCAGCCTCAGGCCATTGCCAGCCTGGAGATGCTGATATAAACAGGGCAGGGTGTGGCCTTGGAAGCTTGCTCACTAGGCAGAAGGAAGCCGAGGAAACTCAAGATCGCTCTTCCAGCCTGGCCAGGAGTGGCTCAGCGGTGGAGCGTCAATCTAGGATCCAGGCAATTCTCGGTCGGGGCACATGCCCAGGTTGCGGGCTCGATCCCCAGTCGGGGGCGTGCAGGAGGCGGCCAGTCAGTGACTCTCATCATTGATGTTTCTATCTCTCTCTTCCCCTCTCCTTTCCTCTCTCTGAAATCAATAAAGATATATTAAAAAAAAAAAAAAAAAAATCACTCTCCTGGATCCCTTAGATCACTCCAAAGAGCTCTGTGTGGGAATCCCTGTCCCCCAGGCCTGTTTGGGAACCCGTGACTGCAGTGTCTCCTGCTGGGGTCCAGCGAGCCACACGAACTGGACTTCCCTAGGGTTACCCTGTACCTTTTGGGAGAAGTTTCCTCAACCCTCTCAGACCCTCAGTTGCTTGTCCAAGAGGATGTGGGGTTTTAGCCACACCTGGGAAGAAAAGCAGGAAATAAGCAAAAGCAGAAGGGTGTTCCAGGCAGTAGGAATGATAGGTGCAAAGGCCCAGAGGCAGGAGTGAATGGGGACTGCTGGCTGTTTGCCATCATCTGTCATGGACTCGAAAGCAGCAGGTGAGGAGAGGCTAGTGGGGTGGGGAGGGCTTTGGAGGCCTTGCTCCAGAGCCTAGACTTTGTCCCAGAGAGGCTGCTCTTCAGTGGTTAGCCCCTCCTCACTATTCTTCCCTCCTAGGACACCTGCCTGTCCCAGGTGCCAAGAAAGTACATAAAGTCTGTATGCTGACAACAGAGATCCAAAGTAGAACCAGGTAGATGTTGGAGCCAGGCAGACCTGGGGTTATACCCTAGCTCCCTATACTGTCAACCTCCCTGTGCCTCAGTGTTCTCATCTGGGGGCAACTGATCCCCTCCCCAGGGCCTCTGTAATCCATCCAGCCCAAGCCCTGGTATGTCTTCACTGAGCTGAGGAAAGCCTGGCCTGCAAAGGAACCATGGGCCGTAACGCAGGGCTCTCAGAAGTGAGGCACAGTGCACTCAGGAGCAATAGTCCCCCATCCCTTCAAAAGAGTGTGCTCGCTCCCACACCGACAAGATGACCTTGGGTGACCTTTATTCCCCATTGCAAGAGATGAGCACAGCTCCTACTGATAACTTGCCCTTAGTGCCAGTGGCACTGGCTCTGGTGAGGCCTGTGGCACACTGGAGAGCACGTGCCCATCTCCTCAGGGTCCTGGGAGAATCCCTGTGACTGTCACCCTGCTTTGCAAACTTTGCCAGTGGGTTTAATTTTGTTGTTGGGCAAGCTGAATAAAATTTAAAACCCACTTGCAGGCCAGAGCTGACCTCTGGGCCATCAGATTTCATTCTCTGGTCTAGAAAACAGCGAGGTTGGAACTGATTGTGTGGTCACTGCAGCAGCCCCCTCTCTGCCATGGCTGTGGCATCCTTGGCCACCTAGAGGTGACCCCGATCAGGTTGGCTCCTTGGGAAATGTTCTTGCAGGCCCCACATCTACCTTTGTCCCCACAGAAGCTGGGCTGAGGCATTTGGTCTCTAACTAGGGCCTGAAAGGCTGTGGCCATGTGAGAGGAGAGGCACCACTGCACCGTGTTCTCCCTACCCCACCTCCACGGCGCCCATCCAGCACCAGGGGTCCATATTCTCCAGGGAAGATCTGGCTGCTCTCCAAGGCCACCTCCTGACCTGACAGTGCTGGGATTCCCGTGACCTTCATTTCTACCTGGGATTGCTGAAGCACATAGGCTGTCCTGGGGTAGGGGTGGGGTGGATAATGTGATGTGTAGGAGGCTCCAGGTCACAGCTGTGGACAGAAGGCATTAGAGACAGTGGCCAAGTGGGGTGTCCTGAAATCCTCTCCCACCTGAAAGCATCTGTCAGGGCTGTTACTCAGGCAGGGTGGGCAGAGGACCACTGACAGATGGCCAGGTCCTAGACCTTCGTCCAGTGGCCGTGAGAATATTCCTTATCGGGCACTACAGCCCTTGGGCAGACTGGAAGTATGGCTGTGAGTGAGGCCGTGTGCAGATGGAGCATGTGGCGCTCCCTGACGAGGCCAGTGCTGCTGGGTACCCACCTTGGGAATTGCTATTTCTTGGCATGTGCCCATAACTTGGTGGGGTTGGATGGAGCCTCATCTCACTGTCTGACTCTCCTGTCCTCCCACTAGTGCCACCGCATCCACCGGTCGCTGGCCAGCCAGTTCAAGTACGCGCTGGTGTGGGTGAGTCTGGGCAGGAGGTGGGCTGGGGTCATACCCCACATCGCCCCTGGGTTAGGCGGGAGCAAGGTGGGGTATGGGCGGTGTCCTTGTCCTTCCGTATGGGACCAAATGTCTGTGTCTGCCCCTCTCCACAACGTGTGTACTGCCCCAAACTGAATACAGGCCCCTCCATCTTTAGGAACAGAGAGGATCAGACCACTGGGGAGTCCTGTCTGAGGCCTGTGGTTTTGCTGGTGCCGGGATCCCTCACTTTAGGCTCCAGCTTTCACACCCCCTTCCTCTAGTAATAGCTCCACCAGATGTCGCCTTGGTCAGTTCTGAAACTGATGTAGCCCCTCTGCCCTGTTCCCCACCCAGGGCACCAGCACCAAGTACAGCCCGCAGCGCGTGGGCCTGACCCACACCATGGAGCATGAAGATGTCATTCAGATCGTCAAGAAGTAGTGGCCTGGGGCCAGGCCCCTGGCCACCCACCTCGTCTCCCTGGGCCATCAGACCCAGTGGCACACTCTGAAGTCCAAACAGGAAGAATACAAATACACGTATTCCAGGAAGGGGTCTCTCAGGTCTGGTTTTTCCAGAAGTTTCTTCAATAGACAAATGAAGAGTGTGTGGGAGTGAGGGACCAGGTGGGGGTCTTATGTTGGGCTGGGGCACTTCACATAAGACTAGCCCCTTGGATGGGGGTTCTGAATTTGGAGCCATGGGCCTATGCCCTACCCCTTGCCCTATTTGGGCATCGAGTGAGCAAGCTGCCCCCTTACTTCCCAGCAGGGCCTAATGTACATAGTGGCTCGATGCTGGGGTGGGGAGCTGGGCCTGCCTGGGTCCCCAAAAGGATAGTTACTGTAGGGGTGCCTTGGCTTTCTGCTCCCATAGTTTCTCTGGTACTCAGGAAGGGAGCCTCCCAGGACAAAACCCCTAACCCCTTTTTGGCCCCACCTCTGCCCCGGGCTGCCCAGTGGTGGAAACTTGAGGTCAGTGGTTTTAAAAGACCCAGTTCATGCCCTCCACAGCCTGATGAGTCCTGAGGTGCCACCCCCTCCCAGGGCAGCCCCGGGTACTGTGCAGACACCTGGGCAGGATCTCAGAGCCTGGGTGTTTCTCTCTGAGCCCTCTGATCTCGGCACCCTCTGAAATAAAGGACAAGGACAGCCTGTTGTTCAGAGTGACATCAGTTCTGTAAGTGTTCTGAACTCTTGCCAGATTTGGGCAGTGGGCAGCAATGAGCCTGATGACCAGACCAGGCTTGAGCCTGGGGTGCTGGGGGCAATGTGGGGACCTCCAGGATAAGTTTTGCCCTGGATGGTTGGCCAGGGGCTGAAGATCCCAGATGTGGTACCTCCTGAGACCAGGCCTAGCTGCCAAGGTGGGCAGCATCCCCAGAAGGCCCTTGTAATTTGTGGGGTGGCAGGGAAGTTCCCCTGGGAGAGCAAGATAGCCAGTACATTCTTGGGGTGGAGGGGTCTTGGCATGGTGTCAAGGAGTGGCAGGTGTTCCCTGAGCCCCTGGCATGTGCCAGGGGCTGTGCAGGGCCATCTCCACAACAGCCTGTTTGTGGNCCTGAGCCCCTGGCATGTGCCAGGGGCTGTGCAGGGCCATCTCCACAACACAAGCGGGGGCTTGCCTTGCACTACACAGCTTGTAAGTGTAAAGCTGGGATTTGAACCACAGCCTGAGATGCTTAAAGCTATACAGAAGGCTTCCTGGAGGAAGTGTGCTTTTTGGAAGCAAATGGTGACAGGCTTTGTGAGGCTGCCAGGCACTGGGCCTGCAGGAGGGGTAGAGGGCTCCTCTGGAGGTCTTTGGACCAGGCTGGAGTGTGGAGCAGACCTGCTGCTCAGCTCTCCAGGCTGTTCTTGGCTCCTCTGTCAGCTGCTTGGCCCCCTTTCCAGAGACAAAACAGGAATAATAGACATCATTAAATATACATGGGGCCCAGGCGGTAGACGCGGTGGGCTGGGCCTCTTTCCCCTCCCCTGCAACACTGAGCTGCTCCTCTGGGCTGGCCATGCTTCTGGGGCCAGCCACAGGACCCCCATTATGTGGCATGCAGGCAGGGAGCAGGCCACGGGACCCAGGTAAGGAAACCCTGATCCGGGACCCTTGGGGTCTGCCCCAACCCCCACCCCCAAGTTTGCAGGTGGGAAGAGGGAAGGGGGCTGTGAGGTCCTTCTGGGCCTCAGTTTCTTCATCTATAAGATGGGCATGATGATGTCCATGTAGTCCTCCTGTTGGCATTGCCAAGACAGCTCAGTGGCTTAGCTCTTCCCTCTCCCGACTGCCTAGCAAGGCCTAGCCATGAGGTCCTAAGTGAGGGTGTCTGTCTGGGTGATAGTCACTGCTACTTCCTGCCTTACAGGGAGGGGAGGGCCCTGGTTTCGCAAGGCATCCGATCCAAACTAATTCTGTCCCCCAAGCTGGCTGAGAAGGAGACGTGAGGCCAGAGGTCTGGGTGTCCTCGGGCTGTGCAGGCTTGGACCACTGGGCCACCGTGTCCTCACTGTATGGTCTTGTGTCCTGGGCCCAGTCTGTGTGTTTGTGCATCAGGGCTGTCCATGCGTCTCTGTCAGAACTTGGCCTTGGGTCTGTGGCTGGCTCGGTTATACTGTCTTAGCCTGAGTGAGAGCCAGAGGCACTGCATGGTGTGCTCACCCAGATTGGTGCGAACTGGCAGCTCACAGTGCCCTTGCCCTGGGGGAGGTGTCCTCACGGCTGAAGAAGCCCCCACTGACACCTCCCAAAGGCCCCTGACCTACCCCCACCAGGGTGCACTCCAAGGATTCGGCCCTACCTGAGGCTGCCACCCTGTTCCCATCCCTCACCTACCCTGGGCCTTCTGTGTGGGGAGGTTCTGGCTAGGGCGACCTGAAGCCCCTTCCTGCTCAGATGGCTTGGTTGTCTTGTGAAGGTCAACAGTGCTCCCACCCCACTCAGGCCTGCGCCTGGCTACAGGGCTGCATGCCCAGGGGTGGCCCTCCTGTAGCTTTAGAAGATTTGGGTGCAAAGGAACCCAGGGTATAAATGACCATCCACCTGTCCATGTGTTCATCTCCATATCCCTTCCTCTCCACGTAGATTCCACAGGTCCTCATTTCATAAACCACTTTGGGCAGGAAACCCAAAGTTCACCTGTCCTCAAGATCCCACTCAGCCCCAGGAGTGCTGCTGGGGGGACTTACACCCCCAGTAGCCGGGCATCGGTCCACAGCACTGCCTGCCTCAGGCTCCCCCTCAGCAGCTCTTCCAAACCTGCTCTGTTCCCCTTGAACCCTGGCTAGAAAACTCGTCTCCAAACACCCCACACTTACCTGCTCCCTTTCCCCTCCATGACGGAAGCATCTCCTCAGGGCCTCCACATGCCGCACCATGGAAGACAGATGGTTTAGCCGCCTCCTGCTCCCTCTCTCTCCCAGGTCTGTTCCCTTGATTTGCCAATTACAGTTGACCTTTGAACAACACAGGCTTGAACTTCATGGGTCCACTTATACACAAGTTTTTTTCCAGTAAGTATATTAGAAATTTTTTTGGAGATCTGCAACAATTTGAAAAACAAATGAACCTAATTTTCTTAATAAAATTTTCCCTTCTCTAGCCTACTTCATTATAAGAATACAGTATATAATACACATAACATACAAAATATGTGTTGACAGTTATTAGTAAATCTTCCAGTCAATAGTAGGCTATTAGTAAAGTTTTTGGGAAGTCAAAAGTTGCACGTGGATTTTCTACTGCACCCCAACCCCTGCTTTGTCCCAGGGTCAGCTGTCATCATTCATGTGCTCGGGCTGCTGTAACAGCACCACACCGGACAGCTTAAACAGAAACTTGCTTCCTCACAGTTCTGGAGACTGGAAGTCCAGGATCAAGGTGTCAGCAGGGTTGGTTTCTCTGGTGACGGCTCCCTTCTCTGTCAACTTCTCCCTCCTGTACAGTCTTTCAGGACTGGAATCTGAGGCCCCCTTCTTGTTCTGTCCCTCTCAGGCAGCCTCACCCCCACCACCCCCAGCCTCCATCTCACCCAATCTGTGTGTCCAAACTGCCTCCTTAACTCAGCACCTGGACGTCCCAGTCACCCCAAACCCTCCTTGTCCCAGACCTAGCCTGTCATTTCCATACCACCCATCTTGCCTCAGAACAATTCCCCTGTCCATTCAGCTACACTAAGCCAACCCCGAGGTCCCCCAGGTTCCACACCAGCCCCCATGCAGCCCCTCACTGAATGTGTCCACTGCACTGTCACAGCTGCCCCAGACCAAGCCACTGTCCTCCCTGCCCCCACTGTGCCTCCCCTGCCCATCCTCCCACACACAGTAGCTCAAGAGCTTTTTCCAGAACACCTTCCAAAAGCAATGTGAGGCAACGGTTGAGAGCATGGACCAAATTCTGTTTCAAGCTGCATGGCCTCGGACAACTTTCTAGACCTCTCTTGGCCTGTTTCATGACCTGTAAAGCGGGAAGGATAGTAGTCACTACTTCCTGAGGTCGTAGTGGGGGTTGAATAAGCAGTGTGTGGCCTGGTCGTTCTCAGCACAGGCCCCACTGCTTTCTCACTGGACTCCGCTGCGTGACCTACCCTCTTTAAGACCAAGCCCTTCGTTTGTAAAATGCGAGTAGCCCTTCCGCATACTGAGAGGATCTAGTGAGTTATATAGGAAAGCATTCTGAGCCTGGCACATAGTAAAACTTGGCAGTGTTGATTACTTTTGTTATCTTCAAAATGCAGATCCCGGCATAACACTGCTGACAGTGGTAAACCTTGCCACGGCTCCCCACTACTTTAGGGATGGAGACGAAAGTTCTGCCCCAGCCTCCAAGGCCTCGTGGGGTCAGTCCTTCCTGCCAGCCTAGCTGCTGCTCGCTGCACACGCCCAGTCACTCCACACCTCTCACATTGGCCTCTGCACATCCTGTCCCATCTGCCTGGAGCATGTCCCTCTCCCATTTGATCAGCTCCCTCTCATCCTTCAGATCGTGGCTCAGGGTCCTCAACGCAGGAACCTCCTTGGCCTTCCAATGTGGTGTTCACCCACCTGCACGTGGCCTGGCCTTCATAGCTCTTCTCACAGCTGCAGTTTCCCCCTTGTTGGCGTGGCTCTTTACTTAAAGCCTGTGTCCCCCCTCGTGACATTGGGAGCTCCATGAGGACAGAGACCACGCCTGGTTCCACTTGACTCTGTGACCCTCTGGTAGTCAGCACAGTGCCTGGCACATAAGTGCACAACCAATATTTGAGGGATGACTGAGGCTTGTAACCCCCTCTGTGGTTGCTGCAGAGGCTAGGGGCCTGAGAGAGAGGGAGGAAGGAAGGACCCTGAATCCACCAGAGAAGAGGTAGCCCCAGTTTACTGGGGGCACTGTCCCCACAGCCTGGGAGCTATCCTAGGCCCCGGAGACCAGAATGGGTCCGGCAGGCAGGCCCTGCTGCCAGCAGTCATCCAGACCACTTTCCCAGAGCAGATGGGAGTACAGCCTGTAATACTGCGATCAGCAACGACTGCACTTTATTCACGCCAGGCACTGAGCCCAGCACCATTTCTTACTGGTTCCATCAGCTCTGGGAGTAGGATGCACTGTCAGCAGTACCCACACTTACAGGTGAGGAGAACAAAGGGCTGCATGACTTGCTGTGGTCAGATCCAGGACAGAAGCCAGACCTGACCTGAGCTGCCCGGGTCCACATCCCCCAGGCCCCTCTGAGCACTGTGGGCCCTCCTGCAGCTTGGCTCTCCTCTGAGTCTGTCACTTCATCTGCACAGTGGGGCCCTGGAGCCCAAAGATGTCTACCTCAGGTGTGCTGTACCCCCCAGGTTCACTGTACATCTCAGGTTCGCTATATACCCCAAGTTTGCCGGACATCCAGGTATGCTGTACACCCAGGTGTGTGCACCCCAGGCTCGCTGTATACCCAGGTTCACTGTACTCACAGGCAAGCTGGTTGGCCACTTGCAGATGCTGGCCTCTCAGTTGTTCTCCTGGATAAACTCCAGGAGGCCAAGGACCTCCCACTTGGGGCAGGTAGGGAGCGTGGCTGGGGCAGGTAGGGAGCGTGGCTGTGGAAGGTGTCCTTGAGCCCAAAATAGCCTGGCCTCCTCTCCCCTCCTGTTGCCTCAAATGTTGCATAGATCTGGAGGCTGGGGTTGGACCCTGCAGCCCTGACAGTCTTCTGGGAGCGCCTCTAAAGGACTTTCTAGTCCTGTTTCCTCATTCTCGCTTTTATATGTTACTTTTTTGTTCGTTTGAATCAGAAATGCACTCACATTTCAAAAATCAAACCACAGAAAGGTTTGCAAGATAACCATTTTCATCAATTTCTTGAATATCTTTTCTAGGATTTCTACATGTAAATAAGAGCAAATGTGAATTTATATTCTTACACACAAGCACGCACATTTCTTGTAAAAAGGCAGGCCTAGGTCTATATTACAGACAGCACACGTTGGCAGGTCCTGGGGCTCTCCCCTATCAGTACAGAGCTGGCCTTTAATAAAGTGCATGTTCTTTATGATAGCTGCGTAGCGCCCCACTGCGGAATGCAGCATGGCACAGCACATCAACAAGAGGTTTGGTGTGTAGGCCATTCCCTTTGTGCACAGGCTCTTAGGGTACATTTCCAGCAATGGGCTCCTCCCTCCCTCCCTCC